CGAACTGCACCATATTTCTCCGGTTCCAGAGTCGGAAACCGCAGATAACGCATCGTCCTTGCTCGAAGATTCGCTTGGAAAACATAAAGCGGAATCTTATATATTGCCAAAAGGAGTAGCTCGTACCATATGGAAATCCCTGGTGGTAAATGCAGTTTTTGCAGGTATTTTTCTTCTCAATTCATTGAATTTGTTTTCGGATTCTGTATGCAGCGTATTATAATGCTTATTTTTTACATTTTGTAGGACTTAACACAGTTGCCTCCTATATTGGACCTTTCCTGATCACTAGCTTTGTGAATTTCTTAACTGAAAATCTGATGGTTCAAGCTACCAGTATGGGCTGGTTCTTGCATTTATCTTCTTCTTTTCGAAGACTGTGGAATCGCTAACTCAACGGCTGTGGTACTTTGGTGCTCATAGAATCGGAATAAGGGTTCGTGCGGCTCTAACGGTTTTGATTTACAAAAAATCGATTTCAACTAAGTTTGTTGGTCCCAGCAATGGTAAAATCATAAACCTCATCAATATGGATGCTGAGAGAATAGGAGACTTCTGCTGGTACATTCATGGAGTGTGGCTGCTACCAATCCAAGTGTTTCTGGCCTTGGTTATACTATACCGGAACATGGGTGCGGCTCCGGCTTTTGCAGCCGTGTTTTCTACGATTTTGGTGATGGTGAGTAACACTCCATTAGCCGGTAGGCAAAAGAGGTTTCACTCCAAGATCATGGAAGCTAAGGATTCGAGAACGAAAGCAACTTCGGAGACTCTAAAGAGCATGAGAGTCTTGAAATTACACTCATGGGAACCCACCTTTTTGAAGAAGCTTCTTCGACTTAGAGAAACAGAGAGAAGCTGGCTTAAGAAGTATCTATATACATGCTCAGCTATTGCCTTCCTGTTTTGGGCTTCACCGACTTTAGTATCCGTCGTCACATTCGGTGTCTGCCTTCTGGTAAAAGCACCGTTAACATCCGGGACCGTACTTTCAGCCGTAGCAACTTTTAGGGTCCTTCAAGAACCTATATACAACCTTCCAGAACTCATTTCCATGATTACTCAGACAAAAGTCTCATTTGATCGAATACAGGAGTTCCTTGGAGAAGAACAAAGGAAGGCCATATCTACACATAGTGCAAAAGCATCCAATGTCGCTATTGAAATCGAGATGGGAGAATATGCTTGGGAAACAGGTGGCCAAGAGATGAAGAAACCAACCATCAAAATCACCAACAATTTGAAAATAATGGAAGGTAACAAGGTAGCTGTCTGTGGCTCTGTTGGCTCAGGTAAATCAAGCTTACTTTGCAGCATACTAGGTGAGATCCCAAGGATTTTGGGTGCACCCATTAAGGTTGATGGGAAAAAGGCTTATGTTCCTCAGAGGCCTTGGATTCAGACAGGCAGTATCAGGGAGAATATATTATTTGGGAAGGACTTGAAGAAAGCTTTCTATGAAGCTGTTCTTGAAGCATGTGCGTTGAACCAAGATATCGAGATGTGGGAAGATAGAGATATGAGCGTTGTGGGAGAGAGAGGGATCAACTTGAGCGGAGGCCAGAAGCAGAGGATTCAATTAGCAAGGGCTGTTTACAGTGATTCTGATATTTATATCCTAGATGATCCTTTTAGTGCAGTTGATGCTCATACAGGAACACATTTGTTCAAGGTAAAAAATGGTAACACATTTTCGGTTTCCATTCATTACTCGAGTTGCATTCTCCCGTGTTCATCTATGATCATTCTTTTGCAGAAATGTCTCAAAGGATTGTTGTCTCAGAAGACTGTCATTTATGCTACACACCAACTGGAATTTTTAGATGCTGCAGATATTGTTCTGGTAAAATAATCTTGTGATGGTATAGATAAAATACCATGAGCATACTGTTGTAGTCTCTCATTCTGCTCTTTATGATTCTTCTTGTAGGTGATGAAAGATGGCCTCATTGTTCAGTCAGGAAAATATGAGGAGTTGATAGCTGATTCTGATGGTGAACTTGTGAGGCAGATGAATGCTCACAGGAAATCACTAGACCAAGTGAACCACCGAGAAGGCGTTGCCGGGCAGCTCCAAATAAGTCAAACCGAAGTCGTAGAAGAAAAACATGGAGAATCCAATTGCTATGACAAGCTTCTTGAAAGGAGTCAAGAAGAAGAGATTGAAACCGGTCGGGTCAAATGGAGTGTTTACTCGACGTTCGTTACTGCTGCTTATAAGGGAGCTCTTGTGCCGGTTGTCCTCCTTTGTCAAGTTCTCTTCCAGGGGCTGCAGATGGGGAGCAATTACTGGATTGCTTGGGCAACTGATGACAATCACATTGTATCAAGAGAACAATTAATAGGCATATTTGTTTTGCTGTCTGGTGGAAGCTCAATTTTTATACTGGGAAGGGCAGTTTTGCTGGCAACTATCGCCGTTGAGACCGCTCAAAGTCTTTTCCTTGGAATGATAACATCTGTTTTCCAGGCACCGATTTCATTCTCCGACTCCACTCCATCTAGTCGAATCCTCAGCAGGGTTAGTCTACAAAATTCAACTGCTTTTCGAATCCATAATATCGCCTAATTCGTTTTAGAAATCAAACTTAACTGGCTACTTCTGGTTGTTACAGTCTTCTACGGATCAAAGCACATTAGACACGGACATTCCTTACAGGGTAGCCGGACTGGCATTTGCTTTGATTCAGCTGTTCAGCATCATCATCCTTATGTCCCATGTCGCATGGCAGATCTTTCTTCTTTTCCTTGTCGTCCTCGGTATATCCTTCTGGTATCAGGCAAGTACCAAACCATCATGAATCCATATCTTACATGGCTCACACAACATAAAAGGTGTACAATGACTAGTGTAACTTGCACCGACACTTAGAATGTTCCTTTTTATTTACTTCTTCTTGATGTTACATATTCTAAACGAGCTAAATCATCTACAGACCTATTATATTACGACTGCTAGGGAGCTAGCCAGAATGGTTGGGATTCGAAAGGCTCCTATTTTGCATCATTTCTCAGAATCTATCGCAGGGGCAGCAACAATCCGTTGTTTCAGTCAGGAAGACAGGTTCACAGAGAAAAACTTGAACTTAATCGATGATTACTCTCGTGTAGCTTTCCATAACTCTGGCACAATGGAGTGGCTGTGCGTTCGAATCAACTTTCTGTTCAACTTCGTTTTCTTCTTAGTTTTGATCATCCTGGTGAGCTTGCCCCGGTCTGCTATTGACCCCAGTAAGCTCCTTTCCTTCCACCTTTTCTCTTTTCTTGATCATCCTGATAGTTGATCTTATCCCAAGTTTGTTCAGTTTGATTCTATAATGTTGAGTTTGCAACTGACTAGCATGTTGATCTGGTATCAGGCATGGCAGGATTGGCAGCTACATATGGTTTGAACTTGAATGTACTGCAGGCATGGGTAATATGGAACTTATGCAACGTCGAGAACAAAATGATATCAGTCGAAAGAATTCTTCAATTCTCAAACATACCTAGTGAAGCTCCCCTGGTGATCGAGGATTGCAGACCGATGCCTGACTGGCCAACCCAAGGAAGAATCGAACTCGAAAACCTTCAGGTGCAATACAAGCCTACACTTCCTATGGTTCTTAAGGGTATAACTTGCACTTTCCCTGGAGAAAAGAAAATCGGAGTTGTTGGCAGAACAGGAAGTGGGAAATCCACTATGATTCAGGCTCTCTTCAGGGTGGTAGAGCCCTCTGGAGGACATATTATGATCGATGGAGTAGATATCACGACGATCGGTCTGCAGGATTTGAGGTCCAGATTGGGAATAATCCCACAAGATCCAACATTGTTTCAAGGCACCATAAGGGCCAATCTGGATCCATTGCAACAACACACCGATCATGAAATCTGGGAGGTAAATGTTAAAAACTTGGTTTCCCTGAAATTATTTCTATTGAACTATCCAGTTTTGCTGATATAAACTCATGACAGGCCATCAACAAATGTCATCTTGTAGACATGGTGCGACGGGATCAACGACTTCTCGACGCTCCAGGTTTAAAATTTTAATAATTTCAGTATATATATTCGACTCTGTATAATTTCCAGTGTAGTTGATACTAAAATGTGGTGAATTGTCAGTGGCTGAAGACGGAGAGAATTGGAGTGTTGGACAAAGGCAACTTGTTTGCCTGGCAAGGGTGCTCCTAAAGAAAAGGAGAATTTTAGTGTTGGATGAGGCAACGGCTTCCATTGATACAGCCACAGACAATGTAATTCAGGAGACGATAAGGAATGAGACAAGCGGGTGCACGGTCATCACCGTGGCACATCGGATACCAACCGTTATCGACAATGATTTGGTTCTGGTTCTTGATAAAGGTAAGTCCATAGGCATAAAGGAACCTTTGAAACATGGTTAAATGCTAATAAGAATTGCAGAAGGCCAGATTTAACTGATTGAGACAAATATGGTGTTTAATGGCAGGGGAAATAATGGAATACGATACGCCGAATATATTACTCGAGGACAATTCTTCTTCGTTCTCGAAGTTGGTGGCTGAGTTCTTGAGATCATCCAAGAGCAACCACCATAAGAATAGACAGAAATAAGATATGGAGTGCATACCGTGTGAAAAGAACCGTTGATGGAGTATGGACCAACATGAAAGCTTTTGGAACTTGCATGAATATATCTTCGGATCGTCCTGCAGGAAACATTACAAGTAGCAACTTACAAACCACCTGCTAATCCTTAACAATATACTTCGATTACATGGTACACAGCCATTAACAAAGAAATAGTTGTACATTTTTAACTCACATGGCCCAGTTTTGTCTTCATTTTTAACTCGCAAAGCAGAGCATTAGCAAACCTCTTTTATAAAAGCTCACCTATTTTATATTTGTTCTTTCGATAACAAATACCACTGCAGATTCAGCACAACGCAAGTATTAGAACCAACTACTTCAGAACTACCGCGTCATAGAAGGGGAAAAATACTACAAAAACGTACATTAAACTGAAATTTTAGGGCCTTTTCCGAAGAAATAGCCCTCCAAAAATAGGCGTATGCCACTTTCTACAGAGAGCACACGGTATTCTTTAGTAAAAGGCGAAAGAATAGTTCGCTTTGTGCTCACTGCATGGCTGCGTGATTTGCCAATTAGGAGTTGCTGGTATTTATACTAGTTCTAGAGCTCACGGTGCTGTGTACTGCCTATGTGGGATTATTGCTGTGGACTTTGTCTCGTAGGTGCAACTAAGAAAAAGATGGCAACTTCAATAAGACCATGAGAAAGAGACAAAGAATACATTGTATCAAGTTCTTTTCTTCTTCTTCACTTTTCTTCTTTTCTGACCTCATTCTTTCTCTTTCCCATCAAATATATAAACAAAAACAACAAATTATTCTGGTAAAATTGTTATCTATTAGTTTTTTTTTACAACAAAATGAAACCCCCAAAGGAATGAACCCAAGTACTTTCAACTTGGATTTTCAAAGAAACCAGACCCATTTCTACAAGTTCAGCCTTGGTTTTCTCGTTTGGTGATGAAACCATGTGGTAAATCACCATGAGGGAAGCTTTCGTGATCGAAGGAGAAATTGGGTCTTTAATGAACTTGAATAGGATTCCATTGACCCCATCAATTGCGGCCAACTATTGTCGGTAACGGATCCAAAAATTTATAAAAGGATGTCTAACATTTTAATTTTCTTTTCTTAAAAATAATGTGGGTGTAAAAATGTTTATTTTTTCATTTTTCTTTAACATATTATTCTAAATTTTATTTCCCCCCTAAATAATGGGTCCCTAGGGGTTTAGTGCGTGCATCCGCCTCTACTATTCTCCGTATAGCTGGTCGCAAGAAGTAAGCTCTTTGAGGATGCTAATAGAGTTTTGCTTCACTGAAATGTCGTTTGATTTCAAAAACCAGACCATGCAACGCAAAGAAGGTTTTGATCCAAGTAACAATTGAGCTTCTTGAGCAACTGGGAACATCCAGTTCATTACATACAATATTTCCTCCAACACATTGGCATTGTCCTTCAATGAGTCGCTTGCGAATGCAGCATCGAGGACTCCGGCGACATCGTTCGCAATGATGCATCGCCTGTTTCACTCGCTTTCGAGACCCCATTTCTTGATTTTATGAACAGAAGTTAGACAGTCGCATCGGTCCAATCGTCTCTTCAAATCGGTAACCGAAAACAGAACCTCGAGACCTCGTCTGAGCTTACGGGGATTCTCGGCGTCGGGATCCTTTCAACGCCATGGCTCCGATTCTCCGCGCAGCAATCTTGGATCATTTTCCTGAGATAATGATTGGGTATCTAATCGAAACTTGTAAGGTCTTGATTCCATTGAAGTGGCGAGGAGAAGAAAATGTTGATAGTGTAATGTGATGTTGATAATTTTGTTTTGTGAAGGCGTTTGGCTGGAATCGAAGAGCTTTAGTGATGAAGGAATGGGACAGATTCCATTGAAGTGGCGAGGAGAAGAAAAGTGAAAAGAAAAAATGAAGAAGAAAAGTGAAGAAGAAGATGGGAACGGGTTGAAGAAGAATAAGAGCCGGTCAAAATGGTCCAGCTGTGTCATGTCGGTCAATGATCCAACTCAGCAGATAACTATCTAGGTGTGTTTTTCGTCACGCATATTAACGACTGATAACGTCGAGTGACCATTTTATAACAAACAATAATATTAGTGACCAATTTGTTACTTTTTAAACATCAGTGATATAAACGAAACTTTCCCTAACATTAGTGACCATTACGTAGTTTACCCTAGAAACTTACATAGTAACCAAGTAAAATTAAAGATTCTAATATTCCCATTAAGTTTGTACCATAAAAAATTATTCCCATTAAGTAAACAATCAAATATAATGAATACACAACTCAATTAATTAATAGGAAAACGAAGGCAGGATAATCAATAAAATTAGGGTAAACGACACAAATGATTACTAATGAGTTCGACACCTTTTCATTTAAAGTAAGGATTAAAAGACTCCAAACACAATAAAAAGATCATATAGACTCTTAAATCTTTGTTTCAATATTTAAATATTTATGTTTAATTCATACTAGATTACGGTTAGACTAGTTTCGGTTATTTAATATGGAAAAGAATTGACACATCTAATCAGTCCCGACCCTTAGGGGTGTATGAGTTAGGCAATGGTCCAAGATGGGCAGGGATATAATGTTGGATCTAAAAATAGTTCTAGCTAAAAATAAAATAAATAAAAAACATATTAAGACAAAAATATAAAGGGAAAAGAACTGATGTATTGCTACTCTCTCATCAATCACGTACGCCTTTATCAAAAACCCAAAAAACTCTTAAGCTTCATCAAAGACCCTTGAATCACAGATGCTTCATCACTATCATTAGAAACTCTTCAAATTCTTTGTTTTCTCTCTCTCCAAGATCCAAAATTCAATCTAAATCTCCACCCACCTAAACTCATGAAAAATTTCCTTATTTCGCAAAAAAATAAACCGTTATTAACATTAAAGCTCCTAAACCTTCTCTAATCAATGACAACGGTAATTTTCTTTTTCAATTTAAATAGGGGCACCAGTCTATCATATTGCCTAAGGCCCCGAAAAGAACAGGATCGGGGCTGCATCTAATATATATTTATCACTTAAATCCAAATAACAAGAACATAAAACCTTTAACATAAAAACATCAAAGTACCACTAATCTGTTCTTGACCAGCAAGAAGCAAAACATGTCATGCACATATTATGACCATAATGATCAACACAAAGTAATGATGAGTAAACAAAGAGAAAACAACTAAGTTTGAGCCAGGATGGTGTTTAGGGAGATATCAGTAGGTAAATAAAGATATTATAAAAAGAAGCTTTAAACTCGAATTTTAGGGCCTTTTCCAATGAAAGAGCCCTCTAAAAATAGGCGTATGCCACTTTCTGCAACGAACACACGGTATTCTTTAGTAAAAGGCGAAAGAATAGTTCGCTCTGTGTTCACTGCATGGTTGTGTAGATCGCATAATTGGAACTATAATTATTTATACTTATTATAAAGCTCATGGTGTCTATGTATTATAGGTGTGGTATTATTGCTCTAGACCTTGTTTGCTGGTAACTAAGAAAAAGATACAACAACTTCAATAAACCATGCAAAAGGAACCAATAAACATTTTTTTAGCATTTTGAAATTTTGATAGATGTAAAACAAGATAGTTACCAGTTCATTTCAAGTTTATTATACCCATGTAACACTTGAGCAAAAAGAAATCAACCCTCCAAATCAATTATGTGAGGCCTCCTTTAAAGGAAAACAACACAGACAAAGCTTCGAAATGATAGATCCTGACAAGCGCGAAGACTGATAAAGATAATACACACCGACATAGTTGGTCTTTTCGACATACTATTACTTGGAGTTAATAGATACTATATGACTTTTTATGATGATTTTAGTAGAAAAAGTTGGGTTTATATTGAAATAAAAATAAGAAGCATTGAATAAATTGAAAGAATTCAAAGCAATGACGGAAAAATAAAGTGATCAATATTTTAAAATACTCAGATCGGATAGAGGAGGAGAGTATACATCAGATTTATTTGAAGACTTCTGCAAAGAACATGACATCATCTATCAGTCGACAGTTTGATACACGCCTCAACAAAATAGAGTTACTGAAAGAAATAACTGCACAATCCTTGACATGTCAAGGAGTATGATCAAAGGTAAGCACTTACCGAGAAATATTAAGGTTGAAGTTGTTCATTGTGTAATTTACCTGCTGAACCGATGTCCAAAAAAAAGTGTAAAGTATATGACACCAATTGAAGCATGGAGCGGTCGAAAACCGAGAGTTGGACACCTCAAAATTTTTGGGTGCATTGCATATGCCCACGTCCTGCGCAAATAAGAAAGAAGCTCGATGATAGAGGAGAAAAGTGTATTTTCATTAAGTATGATGAAAGAAGTAAAGCCTACAGACTATATAATCCTCTTAACTAGATGGTAATAATTTCAAGGGATGTTAAGTTCGATGAAGCAAAATACTGCAGAAGGAGCAAAGAAGAAAAGGAAAGTTGAAGGATTATTTTTTAATGAAGATAAAGATGATATTGATCTTATCGATCAATATGAACAAGATGATGATTAAAGTCTTCAACAAAATTTAACTGCATCACCATTAACAAGCAGCAACAACAGTAGTAACATCATAAAAGATAATTCTGAATTATCTCCCACTAAAGTTCGAAGATCTAAGAGAGAGAATAATACCAAAAAGGTACAATGATTATGAATTACAAAATGTTTCACTTTTCCTGCTTACTTGCAAACAATAATCCAATAGAATATGAAGAAGCGATTAAAGATGCAAATGGAATGCTATAGATGAAGAAATTACGTTGATAGAAAAAAAATGATAGCTAGGAGCTAATAAATCGATCAGAAAGTCACAACCTAATTGGAGTCAAATGGGTATATCAGACGAACACCAACAAATAAGGAAAAGTTGAGAAATACAAAGCAAGATTAGTTGCAAAAGTGTTGAAAACATTTTGATGTTTCGATATAACAAATAAAGTGTCAATGAATTTTAAGATTTTATATTCAATTTCAAAAATAATATTCGATCAAATTAATCGAATATCACATATATTACTCCAAGTTTTCAAATGTCAATTTAACTCCTTACTTAAATGAAAAATTGTGCTTCAATCTTAGAATATTTTTGAAATAATTTTTACAAATTATTTCGAACCAAATCGAGCTAAAATGAGTTTTAAATAGGGAGGTACTGATACTTTTCACACATCGAATGCAAAAAGGGTACGAATACCCCATAGGGTACCGATACCCCTATGGAAAGAGGTACTGATACCTATCCTAAAGGTATCGATACCCCTCATGTTGATTTTGGCTCCGAGAAAAACAGAATGCCAAATGGGCACCGATACCCCTGAGAGGTATCGATACACTTAGTGTAATAACGGTCGAAATATTTGAATTTTACACAGGATGTATCGATACCCCTTGAAGGTGTACCGATAGCCCTACGCTCCCAACATCTTTTTGAAGTAGAATTCACTCCACAATGGCTCTATCGACTTCACCAATGACCCCCAACGTTCAAAACTCATCCAAGGTGT